TTTACTATTTTAATTATATTATATTATATTATATTATATTATATTATATTATATTATATATATTATATGTCATGGTTTATCTTGTTTGGGGCTTCCTTTGCTTCCTGAAACTAGATGTCTGTTTTCTTCCCCAGAGTACGGAAGTTTTCAGCTATTACTTCTTAAAATAAGTTTTCTGCATCTTTCTCTTTCTCTTCTCCTTCTGGGACCCCAATAGTGCAACTGTTAGTATGCTTGATGTTGTCACAGAGGTCCCTTAACCTATTTCTTTAACTCTTTTTCTTTTTGCTGCTCATCTTGGGCACTTTACACACTACCCTGTCTTCCAGATTGCTGATCCATTCTGAATCTTCTGATGTTAATTCCCTTTAGTGTATTTTTCATTTCAATTACTGTACTCTTCAACTACTTTTTGTTTTATATTTTATGTCTCTTTGCTGAAGTTCTCACTAAGTTCATCCAGTCTTCTCTCAAGGCCGTGAGCATCTTTATGATCATTATTTTGAAAGTTTATCAGGTAGATTGCTTATCTGTTTTATTTATCAGTTCTTTTACTGAGGTTTTGCCTTGTTCTTTCATTTGGAGCATATTCTTGTCTTCTCATTTTTGTTTTTGTGTATTAGATAGTCCAGCTGTGTCTCCTGGTCCTGAAAGTAATGTCCTGTATAGAAGGCATCTCGCTGGTCACTAGAACCAAGCATTCCAGGGGTGTCCCCTATATAGGATGTATGTGTCCTACTGTTGTATCTGTGCTGGTGGGTGGGGTTAGCCCCCACTGTGGCTGGCTACCAGGCCCAGCTCTGGGTCGTCTGGGGATGCTAGTGGGCAGCAGTCACTTTGGGCAGGAGCGGGTACTGATCCAAGGTGACCTGCTGGATATGGTGGGTGGTATCTGCTTGAAGCGACATCTATCTGCTGGATTGAGTGTGTTAAGCAGGGAAGGTCTGCGGAGGAATGCCAGGGTGGGACAAACAGTGCTAGCAAGGTAGGTGGAGAGTGTCAGATCTTGGTCCCGCAAGCATCTAGCTAACTAAGCTGTAGGAGTACAAGAAAAATGCACTTGCCAACACTTTCATTCCCAAAGTTCCTACAGATCCCTGTCCCTCTGGCACACACTCAAACATTAGTCATTAAGTCTCCCTCATGTATGGCCCAGGAGCTTTTCAAACAACTACCTCTGTCCTGAGCTCCGAGTGACTGATATTGTGTGTGGGCCCTTTCAGTTTCCTGTAGCTCCCTGGCTCTCCTGGAGTTAAACCCCACTAATTTGCAAAGCCAGACAATATGGGGCCTCATATTTCCAGTGAAGATCCCCAGAGCAGAAGGTGCCTGATGTGAGACTTGAACTTTTCACTCCTCAGGAAGGACCTCCACACCTGTGATATCTTCCTGCTTATGGGTCACTGCAATGGGGTGTTTTGGCTCTTGACCATCTCTGCCCTTCCTACCCTCCTCAATGTGATGTTTTCTTTATATCTTTAGGTGTGGAATAGCTGTTCTGCTAGAGTTCAGGGTCTCAGAGTTAGTTGCACTGTATGTAGTTTCAGCCTTAGTGTGTCCATGGGAGGAGGTAAGCTCAGCATCTTCCTACTCAGTCATCTTCCCTGTCCCAAGAGAGGTGTTTTTAAGGGTACGTTTATTTCTTACTTCCTGACATTTTTCTGTGCTTTGGAAAGCAGTCTGTGATAATCCCATCCCTCTCAGTGTTAAAGCAACAATTGTAGTTTACACCTACTCCTATCCTGAGTGAGGCTTGGAGCACCCTAGTTAGAGGTTTACGGAGCTCTCAGACTTTGCTGCAACTAAATCCTTATTCTTTCTGTCCTTGCAGGTAGCAATGAAGTGATGAGGATGCTGATCTCTCGAAGCTTGCTTCAGGAGTAACCCAGACTTGATGTTCAGGCATGACATTTAATGTACAACTTGAATGAGCATTGAGTGGTTCATGTGGACTGTTGTGTTCCAGTTGAGTCATGGATTAGATTGGAGGCCTGAGCTCTTTCACCTGGGCCCTTCATCTGTATGTTGGGAGCAGCATCAGCTAAAGGACTGGGACAGAGTCTTGAGCAGAACTGGAGGAGCTGCCCTGACTGGGAGTATCACAAGTAGACATACTACCTTGTTTTCCTAATGCAGAAAGGTGACCAGTAAAGATTCATCACCAAATCAACGTTCTCTCTTGGATCTACATTGTCTTGACTTGTGTGCATTTTGCTGGTTCCCCGAATCCTGCTTCCAGGGGTCTGGATATTTCCATTGAGGGTTTTTCCTGATTATAAAGCAAAGGTGTGGGAGAGGAGAAATGGAGAAAAATGTAGTTTTATCTTTTGCTGTCCTCTGAACCTCAGCTAAATATGCAGAAGGTTTCTGTGGGTTGCATTTTCTTTGTAGTACTGCTGTGAATGTGAATGATGATAAAATGAATATGCAGGCAACCTAACTCCTAAACTGTGATTTAGGGGATAACCATACTTGTAGACTTGTGAACATCAAAGGCTGAGATTATGTGGAACTCTGAATATTTGTTATATTCTTTTTTAGAAGTATATGATCTAGGAATGTTATTCAAGTTTCTATAACCCTTCCTGATAAGTACTTTGAGCATATTTTTTTTTCTGCATTTTTCTTTCCTTTCTTGAAGTTGCTCCTTTTTATAAATATTTTAGTCATTATAAATATTTTAGTCACTACATTGATAAATAAAATCTATCCCCCTCAGTATCATCTCCAGTTCTGTTGAAGTTAATTTTTATTTTTTTTAATTTTTTTAATGTTTTATTTATTTTTGAGAGAGAGAGAGACAGAGTATGAGTGGGGGGGAGGGTCAGAGAGAGAGGGAGACACAGAATCTAAAGTAGGTTCCAGGCTCTTACCTGTCAGCACAGAGCCCGACACAGGGCTTGAACTCATGAACCACGAGATCATGACCTGAGCCAAAGTCAGATGCTTAACCAACTGAGCCACAGGTGCCCTAAAGTTAGTTTTTATTTTATCCTCTAAGCCTTTACAACAATTTTTAAAAATTTTTTGATATTTAATTAAACATTTAACTAGATTTTGGAATAATAAAAAATCTCTTCCTAACCAAAGTAGCTTATAAATAATAGGCTCCTTATATTACTAATGGATTTTTAATTTAAGAATTGTTTATGGGTTACCTGAATGGCTCAGTCAGTTGAGTGTCCAACTCTTGATTTTGCTCTGGTCATGATCTCACAGTTTGTGAGATCGAGTCCCATGTTGGGCTCTGAGCTGACAGTGTGGATCCTGCTTGGGATCCTCTCTCTCCCCACTCATTCTGCCCCTTTCACACTCATGCTCACATTCTCTCTCTCTCAGAATAAATATTTAAAAAAGAACTGTTTATAATTTATGAAAGTATATTTAAAGTAATATTTAAATGGAGACTTTTTGGAGAACCCTGTTGTAAATTATGATCATTACAAATGCTCATCATAACAAGTGCCCTCCTTAATCCCCATCACCTATTTAACCCATCCCCCTACCCATATCCCTTCTGGTAACCATCAGTTTGTTCTCTATAGTTAAGAGTATGTTTCTTGGTTTGCTTCTCTCTTTTTTCCCCTATGATCATTTGTTTTGCTTCTTAAATTCCACATATGCATGAAATCATATGGTATTTGTCTTTCTTGGACTGACTGACTTAGCATAATACTCTTTAGCTCCATTCATGTTGTTGCAAATGGCAAGAATTCATTCATTTTATGCCTGAGTAGTGCAATTGCTGGGTCATAGGGTAGTTCTATTTTTAACTTTTTGAGGAACCTTCATACTGCACTGGCTGCACTGGTTTTGCATTCCCACCAACAATGTAATAGGGTTCCCCTTTCTCCACATCCACAGCAACACCTATTGTTTCTTGTGTTGGTGATTTTAGCCATTCTGACAGGTGTGAGGTAATATCTCACTGTAGTTTGAATTTGTATTTTCTTCATGATGAGTGACGTTAAGCATCTTTTCATGTGTCTGTGGCTCTCTGTAGGTCTTCTTTGGAAAATTGTCTTTTCGTGTCTTCTGCCCATTTTTTGATTGGATTATTTGTTTCTTGGGTGTTGAGTTTTGTAAGTTCTTTTTGTAATTTGGATACTAACCCTTTATCTGATATGTCATTTACAAATATCTTCTCTCATTCCATAAGTTGCTTTTTAGTTTTGTTGATTGTTTCCTTTGCTATGCAGTAGCTTTTTTATCTTGATGAAGTCCCAATAGTTTATTTTTGCTTTTGTTTCCCTTGCCATAGGAGGCATCTTTAGTAAGAAGTTGCTAAGGCCAGTATCAGAGAGGTTACTGCCTGTGTTCTCTTCTAGGATTTTGATAGTTTCCTGTCTCATGTTTTGGTCTTTCATCCACTTTATTTTTATATATGGTATAAGAAAGTGGTCCAGTTTCGTTCTTTTGCATGTTGTCCAGTTTTCCTAACACCCTTTGTTGAAGAGACCATCTTTTTTCCATTGGATATTCTTTCCTGCTTTGTCAAAGCTTAATTGACCATATCTTTGTGGATTCATTTCTGGGTTTTCTATTCTGTTTCATTGATCTAAATGTCTATTTGTGGCAGTACCATACTGTCTTGATCACTACAGCTTTGTAATATAACTTGAAGTGTGGAATTGTGATGCCTCCAGTTTTCCTTTTCTTTTTCAAGATTGCTTTGGCTGTGCGGGGTCTTTTGTAGTTTCATACACATTTTAGGATTGCTTGTTCCAACTGTGAAAAATGCTGTTGGTATTTTGGTAGGGAATGCATTAAATGTGTAGATTACTTTGGGTAGTATAGACATTTTAACAATATTTGTTCTTCCAATCCCTGAGCATGGAATTGTTTTCCATTTTTTTGTGTCATCTTCAATCTCATTCATCAGTGTTTTCATAGTTTTCAGTGTACAGATCTTTTACCTCTTTGGTTAGGTTTATACCTAAGTATCTTACAGTTTTTGGTGCAATTGTAAATGGGATTCCTTCATTTCTCTTTCTTCTGCTTCATTATATATTGGTGTATAGAAATACAACATATTTATGTATTTTTGTTTTGTTTCCTGTGATTTTACTGAATTTGTATATCAGTTCTAGCAATTTTTTTGTGAGTCTTTTGCGTTTTCAATATAGAGTATCATGTCATCTGCAAATAGTGAAAGTTTGATTTTTTTTTCCCTGCCAGTTTGGATGCCTTTTATTACTTTTTGTTGTCTGATTGCTGAGGTTAGGACTTCTAATACTATGTTAAATAACAGTGATGAGAGTGGATATCCCTGTTTTGTTCCTGACTGTAGAGGAAAAGCTCTCAGTTTTCTTCATCATTGAAGATGATTTTAGCTATGGGTCTTTCATATATGGCCATCATTATATTGAGGTGGGTTCCCTCCAACTGCACTTTGTTGAGGGTTTTTGTCATCATGAATGGATGTTGTACTTAGTTAAATGCTTTTTCTGCATCTGTTGAGAGGATCATATGGTTCTTATCCTTTCTTTTATTAGTGTGGGGTTTCATGTTGATTTATTTGTGAATATTGAACCACCCTTGCAGCCCAGGAATAAATCCCACTTGATTCTGGTGAATGATTCTTTTAATGTACTATTGAATTTGGTTTGCTAGTATTTTATTGAGAAGTCCTAATTTCTAATACTAATTTCTCACCTAATTGGATGACTTTAGGTAAGTCTCTTAATACCCTTGGGACTTTTTTCCCCTAGTAATTAAATGTATTTCTGTTGGTCTAATATTTTTTTTAATTTAATTTTTTTTTAAATTTACATCCAAATAGTTAGCATATAGTGCAACAATGATTTCAGTAGATTCCTTAATGCCCCTTACCCATTTAGCCCATCCCCCCTCCCACTACCCCTCCAGTAACCGTCTGTTTGTTCTCCATATTTAAGAGTCTCTTATGTTTTGTCCCCCTCCCTGTTTTTATATTATTTTTGTTTCCCTTCCCTTATGTTCATCTGTTTTGACTCTTAAAGTCCTCATATGAGTGAAGTCATATGATATTTGTCTTTCTCTGACTGACTAATTTTGCTTAGCATAATACCATCCCGTTCCATCCAAGGTCTAATGTGTTTTTGATTGCCTCCTACATGCATGAACTTTTCAGAACAATGGGAAGGATGCATGGATAAAACAGCTGCATCTCCTGAGTCTGACAGGTTGAAACACTACCTTACATTGTAATGTATACAAGGATAGAAATGTATCCAAAGCAAAAAGTCTGTTTTGTCATTCACTCTGGACTGAATGTTGGCTTCACCCTAAACCTCATATGTTAAAGCCCTAATCCCCAATGTGATGGTATGTCTACTAAACATCACCCCACATCCAGTTTGTGATCAAGTCTTTTGTAGGTGGAGCCTTTGGGAGGTTATTAGGTCATGAGCACCCTTATGGGAAGAGACATGAAAGAGATTATCTCAGACTCCACCTTTTGAAGGCATGGCAAGAAGGTAGGCATCTGCAAAACAGGAAACGGGTCCTCACCAGACACTGAATCAGCAGCAAGTTGATCTTGGGGACTTCCCAGCCTCCAGGACTATGAGAAATAAATGTTTGTCTTTTATTTTATTTTATTTATTTTATTTTATTTTATTTTATTTTATTTTATTTTATTTTATTTATTTTATTTTTAATGTTCATTTATTTTTGAGAGAGAGACAGAGTGTGAGTGGGGAAGGGGCAGAGAGAGAGAGGGAGACACAAAATCTGAAACAGGCTCCAGGCTCTGAGCTGTCAAAACAGAGTCTGACATGGGGCTCAAACTTGGGAACAGTGAGACCAATATCTGACATGAAGTTGGACGCCTAACTGACTGAGCCACTTAGACGGCCCGGTAAATGTTTGTTTTTAAACCATTCTATCTATGGTATTTGTTACAGCTGACCAAGATGACTAGGGAAGTCATTCATACAATTTGCAAATATTGAACCACACTTGTGGCCCAGGGATAAATCCCACCTGATCCTGTTGAATGATTCTTGTTTTTTATCCATTTCCACACCTTATGTCTTTTTATTGGAGCATTTAGTACATTTACATTCGGATAGATATGTATTTAGTACCATTTTATTACTTGTTTGGTCATTGTTTCTTGTCTTTGTCACTTGTGGTCTTTCCTTTCCATTCAAAGAGTCCTCTTTAATATTTGTTGCATGGCTGGTTTAGTGGTCATGAACTCATTTAGTTTTGTTTGTTTTTTGTTTGTTTTTTTTTTGTTTGTTTTTTTTTGTCTGGGAAACTCTTTATCTCTCCTTCTATTCTGAATAATAGCCTTGCTGGATAGAGTATTCT